TCAATCAGCAGCGGTTAAGTCAACAGCAGGTTCACAAAATCAGCCGTGACAGGCAATGAGACATGCAGTCATGTATGAAACTTCACCAGAGACGATTGAGATGTCAGCCAAAGCCTTGGTATGCCCGAGACAGGCATGGCAGAGCTGTGGCAAGAGATTAGAATTATAAAGAGAATTGGTCTTTCAATTTTTTTTTTCTGTTTTCATATCTCTCACGTGTTCCCTCGCCATCTCTCCGGAGTATTTATTGATGTACTTCATGTGTCACATTCGGTCTTGCTTATTCATTTTCAACAAACATTTGCACAAGAAAATTAGGCAGTTGTTCATGCAAACTTAATATTGTTACACAAGTTCATCATCAAGCCTTTTGCTTTATCAAACAGCCCCTGATGCTTATGGGAATATTTAATCACTGAATGCCAAATGCCATGCTACATTTAGGTGTAATTTTCCTCCATGCAAAGGTAATTTGTTTTAGTATTACAAATTAATTAAACACTAACAATGATGGAGGATGCTCAGGAATTTGTAATTGAGAGCTCACCACGGACGCGGATTGATGGAGCGCCCCCCTCCTCCCATTCTCCTTCCTTTCAATATTTATTTTTCACGCTCTTTCATCCTTTGCTTTTCTTCATTCAATTTTCTCTGGTTTCCCAAGAAGAACACCTTTGCCCATAATTCTCACATTGTGTAAGTGTGTAAGTAGATGACTGGGATGGTAGGATGTATTAGTCATATTTTTTGGATACGGGAACGGCGTATGAGTTCGCTGCATTATCTGAAGGGAAAAAAAAAAAAAAAGATGTCTGCTTTAACATCAATTTGATATGAAGATATTCTGTCATCTCCACCTCAAAACCCAAATTATGTGCAGGCAGACTGTGAACTTGACCAAAGAAAGATTCCTGATTTTGTCTATCATCCTTCTCAGGCCTCACAAAGACTGAGCTTTAGGTGGAGCTTCTAGGTTTCTTCTTAACACTGTTACTTCAATGTCTCAATGTGTAATGGAAATGAATGATTTTGGAAGCAAAAATCCAGCTGTTCAAGATAATGATCTTACTTCACTTCTCATGACCAAATTGATGAATTCAGTTCCAGGCTGCATACTTAATGGTGTGTGTGTATGTGTGTGTGTTGTATGTACAATCATTATGTGTGATGTAATGTAGTGATATTTGTTTCACTCGGTAATTATGATTTCATTGCACAAAACCCAGCTTTGTCTTTTTTTTTTCCCCCTCACTTAATACCTGAACATCTGCAAAGAGAGAGAGAGACAGAAGCTAATGAAATGGTTTGTTTTAAAATGCCTCAGTCAGGCCAGGACTTGCAGTAAGTAAATGTGTATGTGTGCATTTGCACGTCATTTGTGTGCACACACACACTCCCACAGCACATATCTGTGTTGAACAAAGCGTCCTCAGTTACTAATTGCTCGTCATGTCCCTGCAAACTGCACTATAAAACTGTAAGTACTAATCCCAACCCTTTACAAACAGTACCGCATTGTCTTTCCAAATCCAGACTATATGATGCATGGCCATCACTCAATGACTGATATCTATCTTCAACTGTTTATGCTTCACCATTTATCACAAAACAATGGAACAGGCTGTAGCGCAATGATTACTGTAGATATGTTTTCAGATAAAAACAGCTGTCAGTTAGATGAACAGTTAGATAGACATTTGCTGTAATAAAAGATCCTCTAATGCAATCCACATCATCAGTAATGCAACGTGGAGTCCTTCGTGTTTAAGGTTATTCAACACCAGACACCCAGTGACCCATTTAAGGTTCAGCTTCAGCTTGTCTCATTTCATAAGTTTCCTACAGATTTTTTTTATTTTAGTCACCTGGAGGCTCTTTCTGCTGCCTCAGTGTTGCTGCAGATGGCCCTCCTGCTCCTTTCTCCTTATACCATGTACAGTGTCAGCTTCCCAGGTACTGCACCGTCCACCTTTGTCAGGACTTCATATTTCTTCTTCTACCAATTTGGTCCATGTGATCTTCCAATTGCATATTTAAACTATATGGCCGAAAGTATGTGGACACCTGACCATCGCATCCAAACTGTTGCCACAAAGTTGCAAGCATACAAATGTATATAATGTCTCTGCATGCTGTAGCATTAAGAGTTCCCTTTAGTGGAACTAAGCGGCCCAAACCTGTTCCAACATCCCTGTGCACAAAGCAAAGCCCATGAAGACATGGTGGACCAAAGCTGAAGTGGAAGACTTGAACCCTACTGAACACCTTTGGGATGAATTGGAACACAGACTGCACGCCAGACCTTCTCGTCCGACATCAGTGTCCGACCTCACTAATGCTCTTGTGGCTGAATGGACACAAATTCCCACAGTCACATTCTAAAATTTAGTGGAAAGCCTTCCCAAAAGAATGAAGGCTGTTATAGCGCCAAAGGGGGGACCAACTCCATGGATTTAGAATGGAATGTCCAACAAGCACATGATAGATAGATAGATAGATAGATAGATAGATAGATAGATAGATAGATAGATAGTATCACTTTATTCATCCTTGAGGGAAATTCACAAATTACAGCAGCGCAGAGAGTTAGAAGGTAGACTAAAAGTAATTAAGATTATAAATGAAATAAAATAAGAATAAATGTATAAAAAAGAATCGAGTCTAAGAGTGCAATGTGGGTTTACATTTGTAGATATAAGTAGCAGACTTGCGTGGAATTAAATTGGCAGTGCAGTGCAAATATTGTCACCAGTGTAAACATTTTAAACAGCGATAAAATGAAGAGGTACATACAGTATTGTATAAAGTGAATATGAGAAAAAGAAAGAAAGACGAAAAATGCATAAATATGGATATGCATAGTGGATAGTGGTAAAGTTCATATTGGTGTGATGGTCAGATTCCTATTCTTGGCTGACAGGAGTTAAACTTGATGTGGTCTTTTGCTGTTGTAGCCCACCTTCCTCAAGATTTGATATGCTATGTGTTCTGAAATGCTTTTCTGCTCACCACGGTTGTAAAGAGTGGCTATTTGACTTACTGTCAGCTTGAACCAGTCTCCTCTGACCTCTCACAGCAACAAGGCATTTCCACCTTCAGAATATTTGGATGTTTTTGTTTGTTTGTTTGTTTGTTTGTTTCACCATTCTGTATAAACTGTAGAGACTGCTGTGTGTGAAAATCTCAGGACAGCAGCAGTTTCTGAAATACTCAAACTAGCCCATATTGCACCAACAACCATGCCATGGTCATAGATCAGATCTTTCCCCATTCTGATGTTTGATATGAACTTTACCTAATGTTCTTGCCTGATATTTTGCATTGCGCTGCTGGCACGTGATTCGCTGACTGGATAATTGCATGAAGCAGGTGTATGGGTGTTCCTAATAAAGTGACTAGTAAGTGTATGTATATGTGATATAAGCCTAGGTTCACACAATTCACATCGACTTCCAAAGTGAGCTCCAAATGGGCTGCCATTGAAATGTACAGCACACACACACACACACACACACATATATATATATATATATATATATGTATGTACTGAGTACATTTTTTGTGTTTAGTTTTCTAAAGATGAAATCAGAACTGTAATTGTGAGTGATATGATCTGCTCCAGAATTTAGCACATGTCTATATATGTACGTATATGTGTGCATGAATATACTATATACTGTATGTGTGCCATCTTCCCTACAGTAGATGGTTTATTAGAACAGTGATTTTGTCATTTTGTGTGGTGGGGGGTCATCACACACTGTGGTCCTCCTCCTCTCTCTCTCTGTCTCTCTCTCTCTGTGTGTGTGTGTGTGTGTGTGTGTGTGCAGATTGAGCTGCACAATTACTCTTTATTAATCTGCATCGCCTTAATTGAAAATTCCCCTGATGAGGGCCGATACTCCAGGGCCATACCTGGAATACGCCACTCATTATCTGCCAAGGTGCCTTTGTGGCCTGCCGGCACTTTCGACAAGCGTTGAGCCCTGCATGCAAATCAGAGGATAGCTGGAGTCCCTACTGACAGGAGAGAGAGAGAGAGAGAGAGAGAGAGCTATTCTTATTGCTATTATTCTATCTTTTTTATAAAAAAAAAATCTGTGTGTAAATATGTATGTCTCTAATTTAATGTTACCAATGCTTTGGCAGTGTAAAACCTTTTACCATGCTAAAAAAGCTATTTGAATCTTGAATCTTGAATCTTGAACAAGAGAGAGGGAGACAGAAAGAGAGAGAGAGAGAGAGAGAGAGAGAGAGAGAGGGAAGGGAAAAATAGAGAAATTTTACATGGCTGAAAGTGTGACGCTTAGTTATAGGCAAGACAAAGTGGTTAAGGAGGCTCTGTTCTATTTCACAAGATGTAGTGTACATTGAAGTTTTGTTATTAATGTTCATTAATGTTTAATCTACCCTAGACTTTTGACAGTGGTTTAGGTTACACATTTTTTATCTTTCCTGTTTGTTTACTTCTAACAATTTTTTTTTTTTTTTTTTTTTTACTTTTTAACCTTTGAGTTTTGGTCTGTTATTTTGTAATGGGTGTGTGTGTGTGTGTGTGTGTGTGTGCGTGTCCTGGCAGTATATGTGTAATGACTATAAGCAGTTACTTTAATGTTTTAAAGATATTTGTATTGATAGAGAGAGAGAAAGAGAGAGAGAGAGAAAGAGTGAGTGAGAGAGAGAGAGAGAGAGAGGGAGAGAGAGTAATAGAAAAAAGAAGACTACCACAATCCAGTGAACAAAGGCTCCACCTCCACTCTCTATTTCTAAAGCTTGCTAGACTAATACTAAGACTACTTGAAAAGGTACATTACAGGATTTTTCCCCTCTTTCAGCTGCTCCCGTTTGGGGTCTCCACAGTGGATCAGCCGTCCGCATATTTTGATTCTGGCACAAGTTTTACGCCGGATACCCTTCCTAACATAACCCTCCCCATTTCCAGGCTTTGGACCAGCACTGAGAGAGCACACTGGCTCGTGCAACCCTCCAGTGGCTGGGGTTGGCTCCCTGAGCGGGTATCGAACCCGGACCGCGGCGATGAGAGCACCACATGCTAGCCACTAGTCCAGGGAAACCACATTACCGGAAACTAATTATGTGAATTTACAACATTTTTATATAAAAGGACTTAGCACCAGAAGAGCTAATAGGTGATTAATTATTAAGTGATCTGAGGGGTTTCGGTCTAGACTCCCGTTATCAAACCTCTGTTCAGTTTGCAATTTTGTTCAAAATTAATAATTCAGACATTCTCATGTGCATCCATTTTAGCCACTTATCAGAATCAGAATAAAATTTCTGTCCTTCATTTGAATAGGTGGTCACCATAGGACAGGCAACTCACGGCCATGCGTCCCACACATGGCTGAGGAAAGTGGGTCATGTGTGGTTTGGTGGATGCATATTAAAGTGTATTTACCGTAGCAGGCAACGGTGGAAAAAAAAAAAAAAAAGAATCCTATTACGAGTGCTTTGAAAGTAATTACCTTAATTAAAAGCACTAATGTGGCAAGGCACAGGGAGGCATCTTTTACAGGCCTAGTTTAGAGACTGTTTGATTTAGTAGAGCATTGTGAGTTTAGGGAGTTGGAGCAAAGGGAGAAGGTTGACTCCATAATGCTCTGTTTCTGCTTTATTAATTTAGTTCTATTCAGGATAGCTTTATTGGCATGACTGCATTAAGTACAGTCTTACCAAAGCATATTCCAAGATACATTTCAAAGGCTTTTTTTTTGTATTTATAATTTCAGAGCTATTTAAATTGTGGGTTTTCTGTTTTTGGTTGGAAATCTGTTCTTGGGATTAACATGAAGTTAGTGATTTTTTTTTTTTTTTTTTTTAGATCACCATGGCTGAGGACCTTCTAACAAATTTTATAATTAATTTTCCCATTATCCTATGGGTCTCTCTATTCTTAGACAATAACCTGGGCAGACCTGCTTTAAAGTCTTCATTACTGACCCTTAGACCTTTAGTAGTATGACCCCTGCATGTATTTGTTTGGCCATGTCCATGCCTTGTTATCTGCAGTTACAGACTTTTACAGCAGTACTGCCTCCTCCACAGCGCTACACGCTTAGAAAAAATGTTGAATCTAGACTCCCTGAGCGCTGAAAATTCTGTGTAGAATCCCACCACTGTAGTGTTGTTGTCTCATTAAATGGGGCTCCAAGTAGACTCCCTTTATGAACCTGGAAGCCCTAAGAACCAATTTTGTCCTAAGAGTATATCCCTGATAAAGGCATCAAAAGGTGCTTTACTTTCATAGGGCCCTACATATGAATAATGTTATGAATGGTCCTGATAATGTCCTTCAGCCTTGTGAACGTGAAGACTTGGTTTTTCAACGGCATGCACTTTTTATATATATAGTGGGAGTTGGATTGCATCCTCATAGCCTCATATAATATAGTATGTAAGAGAAATGGTAAGAATTGTAAGACTGTAAGATAAATAATACTCTCAAAGAAGCAAGTAATTTTTTTCTTTCATTCATTCATCTTGTGGTTGTGGTAGATCCGGAGCCTCTCCGGGGAAAACCTCTCAGGGGATGTGAGGTAGGATTACAGCCTGGATGGGATGCCAGTGCATCACAGGGCACCATGCATACGCACATTTACACACTCATTCACATCTACATTGTCAGAAATAAATGTACCAAGCTGTACTTTTTCTTCTTGCTGGGATGGTACCATCAAGGATGCACCGTTTGTATGTACTGTATATTTTGCCTGGAAAGGTGCATGTGGTGTAGCTTTATTTGGAATAAAACTTTAAAGATGCATCAGTAGTGCTTAATGTCCAATTATATACCTTAAATTTTATTAAAAGTATAAAGATTCATACGAAAGGTACAACAAATATACCCCTCATGGTACCACCATAACACCACAAAAAGGGAAAGTACAGTTTGTTTGTTTGTTTGTTTGTTTGTTTGTTCTCAGAGTGTAGGGGCAATTTTAAGTCCTTTATCTACCTACCAGCATGTTTTTGGGAGGTGGGAGGAAACTGGAGAACCCAGAAGAAACCAGCATGGGGAGAACATGCAAAAGGCCACACAGGCAGTAACTCAAGCTCAGGATCACGCTATAAGCAACAACACTACCTGCTGCGCCACCCAAATTATTTTTTGTATAATATATAGTATTTGGACTATTTGTCTAAAAATGTACTCCTTTGGAGTCAGCTATTGAGCTAGTGTGGAACAAATCTGGATCCCCAGTAGGAGTAATTTACTGAAGGTGCCGAAGATGTTCACGCTTATACCAAAGTACTGTTGGAAATTTCGAATAATTTGCATCGTTGAAAAACTTCATAGAGTTTTATAGTGTACCTCTGCTTCTGACAGCATTGTCTACTTGGTGTTTGAATTGCAATATTAATTCAAGAGCATTAGCTGTTGAGGAAAGGCAGTTGGACCATTTTCATATCTAAAATATCTTATTTCATTATGTAGTCATGATTGCATTGGTGATACTTACCGGTTGTACCTGCTTATCACTTGCCATTTTCATAACAGATCTGAAACCGTTACTTGCCAACCCATCTATCTATCCGTGTACCTCACCTGTCACATTTCGACATCCATCCACAGATTGTTATTCATAGTGTTCTAGTTTCCATGCATAGATTGATAGATGCATAGATAGATAGATAGATAGATAGATAGATAGATAGATAGATAGATAGATAGATAGAGTATACCGTTGGATGGAAAACATGACATTAAAAAAAATATAAACAGTTCTAAGAGGAAATAATCATGTTATTTTTGCAAGGATACCTCATACTCTCGATCATTAAAAGAAAAGACCCGAACAGCAGCGAGCCCCTCAAATTAACAGCATTCACGTTTTACTGATGTAGGGGGGAGGACACAATTATGCTCACTTGTCATATATTAATA